TATATGTGCTCAGCAATTACCCATAATAGAGAACACTAATTAGGAATTAATGATTCACATTGATGTGATGGTTTTTAAAATAAAGGGAAACATTGCAGCAAGGTAGAATGAGTATGAGAGGACCCAGCTTTGAATCCTGACTCTGTTCCTTGCTAATTGTGTGGTCTTAGACAAGTTCCTGAAATTTTTTGAACTGTGTGCTCCTTATCTGTAAAATCACTTTTTCACAGGGTCATTGTAAGAATTATAAGAATATCTAACAGGTGAAAACAATTGGTAATAAAAAGGATACCTGACCCTTATGTAGCACTCTCTTTACCTGACCCTTACGTAGCACTCTCCTTGTGCCAGAGACTATTCAAAAAAATCGTATACTCATTGAATTGAATCCTCAAAAAAAAAAAAGAAAGAAAGAAAAAAAAAGATTGAGTTAAATACTATTATTATGCCATTTTAAGGAGGAACCAGGCACAGAAAGGTTAAATAAATTCCAGAAGTATAAAAGGCCTGGTCAGTCAGAGCCAGGATTCAAACCCAGGAAGCCTGGTTGTTAAACATACATTACATTGTTTCACAATAAGGTATCAATCACAAGAACATTGTTTCGATACAGGTCAATTAGAAAGAAGTTGAAACATGAAACTAAGGATGACTGGCATTTATGAAAGACAAAGAGTATGTGAGAATATAAACACTACTGGCTACCAGCTTTAACTGTGGAGTCCGGTGGAAGAATTTTGGAGCATTTTGTTTTGAGTTGTCCCTGCTCCTTGGAAAATGACAAATTCTGCTAACTTGTATAATTTAAAACTAGGCTAGGAACTAGAAGGATAGAGTCCCTTTTCTCTTGAAGGCAAAAATTTCCTTTCAAACATGTTTCATCCTTTTGACAATTTTATCCAATTTTCCTGGTTAAATATTATATTTTTATTCATTAACAATCTTGTCTCTTATTTTCCTGACAGTACATTATTTTTACAGGCCCTAACTATTGTCCAGTTTCTGGGTGTTCATATCTGACCACAGCAGGTCAGATAAGACCTGTGCATTCCAGTGATAACCAGCATGGTGCATTTCCTGTTCCATTCTCCTACATTCATATGGCCTGTACCCTGGCAAGTTGTACTACTCCGTTCCATATGTGCATGGTGGTTCCTTCTCAGTTTTGATCTCTCCATGGAATCCACGGTATCATTTCCCATCTGAATTGTCTACACGCTGTGTATATGAATCTCATATACAAGTCCTGCCCATCATACCTTTTTTCTAACTGTGTATACTTTTTGTTAATGATGCCATGAGGAAGCAGAAGAAATAGACAAACCCAGAGTTTTTCAAAAGAGTTCTCTTTCTCTATGATGGACCCTCCCAACTCAATATATTTTTCCCTTTTTTCCTCACTTGATACATTTTCCATAGACCATCTTGTCTACACAAAGGAATACTATCTCTACACAGTCTGTTCCCAGATCTGTACCTCCAGCCGAGAGCTCTTCCAGAAACTCTGTCCACCTTGCTCACAAGGTATCTCTATTTGGATGTCTTAAGGCAACTCAGATTCAACCCATGCAAAATCTAATTCATCATTTTCCATTCCTTCCTTCCTTCCCCAGCTAAGTGCCTTCTCCTAGTCTCTTACCAATCTCTGTAAACGGCATGACTATCTACCAAGTTGTCCAAGCTGGAACCTTGGGGTCATTCTTGACTGTTACCTCTTCTTTAACTCCCATAACTAGTCAACTAACTCCTGAACCTTCTGTTAAGCCCCACTTCCCATTATCTTAATTCAAATCACCATATTTCTCACCTCATTCCTCAAGTAGCCTTCTATCCAAGCTACTACAGCAAGGTCTTGCCACCCTTGTGACAGACAAAGGGCTAATAACAATATATGAAGAACTACTACAAACCAATTAGAAAAAGATGAAAAGCCAATAGAATAAGCAATAAAGGGTATGAAAGAAAAGGGCAAGAACCAATAAATCACAGAAAGATGAAATTGATCTCACAAAGGGAGTAATAAAATAAATTTAAAATAAAGCAAGAATGAATTACCATTTTCCCTCTATAAGAGGCCCAAAGTTTAAAGACACAGTGCTTGCAAAAATGTAGGTAAATAGACATCAGTGTCTGTATTTTTGGTGTGAATGTAAATGGGTGCAACTTCTTTGAAGGACAATCGGTAAGTCTAAGCAAATTTATAAATGTACACACCCTCTAAGAGGATGGATCGTTTAATTGTATTTTCTTTGACACAATTTTATTTTTTTTTACCATGTGCATATATTACTTTTTCAATAAGAAATGTGTTAAATAATTTTAAAAAGTAACTTCTGTTGACGGGAAGACCCTCTCATGATGCAACATGATCACGTCACACATCCATGCTGCATTTACTCCAGGACTCTGATGACATCTGCTTGGAGCGATCCACTCATTCATTCTTTTTCTTTCCTCCCTCCTTCCCCTTATTTCAGAGATAATTGGAGAGGACTGATGGGGATTTGATACAAGTGCTCTAAAACTAAAGCTAATCAAAGTAATTTGTATTAATTTGCACAATTCATAATATTACATTTTGATTATAGGAAACTTACCATTTGAATTAAGCTTCTTTCAAAAGGGCTATTTTTATTTTTTTTTAAGATTTTATTTATTTGACACAGAGAGAGAGAGAGAGAACGCAAGCAGGGGGAGTGGCAGGCAGAGGGAGAGGGAGAAGCAGGATCCCCCGCTGAGGAGGGAGCCCAATGCGGAGCTCGATCCCAGGACCCCAAGATCATGACCTGAGCTGAAGGCAGATGCTTAACCTATTGAGCCACCCAGGCGCCCCAGGTTATTTTTAATTCATTTTCACTTCCTACCACATACGTACTGTAATAGCAGTGTTCCCAGAACGTGGTAGAAGATTGGGAGAGGCCAGCCAGGATTTAAAAGTGGTTGTGGACAAGGTACTCTTCAAATTGCGTTTAAAATTTCCTTCTGAGAATAAAAATTTGAAGAATCAAATTGATTAGTGAGACCAGTAATCTATAGCAATAATATAACCAGAGATTGCCTTTTAATATTTGATTAGCATTTGAGTAATACCCCACATCCAATCAAGGTGGTCTGGCTGTAATTTTAGAGCAGTAAGTCTTCTTCATATAGGACTGAAATGAAGAAAGCTTAAGCCTCATCAACTGGAATGAGCTGTTTTGGGAGACAGAATTATTGGGGCTATGGAGTGCACAATAGCTATATGACTTGGACAGGGAGGTGGAAAGCAAGTATTGGTCATATGTCTCCAAGATGGAGAACAGAGGGTTTTAACTAGCCAACATTCAGTTCACTCAGCAATGTTTATCCTTATAGGATATGTATCGGGTAAAAGCCATTAAGGCTGTCTGGCCAGAGCCTGACTCCCTGTGTCACTTTCTCAGGTTTACTTGGCTTCTTGGTTTCATAAGAAACAGCCAGTCTCATAAGACCTTCAGGGGCTTTAGGAGCCATTTAGTTTAACCTCTTCCCAGTACAGGAATGCTTCCTGACTTCTTATCACTTCCTACTCCAGACCCACCATCCAGGATTCTTTTAAGTAAACTTGTTCTATTGGTCCCTGAGTGAACTTGCCCTCCCAGTGACAGTCCCAGATTTTATTAGGAGAAACCCTTCAGGCCTCTTTTAAGGCTCCTGAAGGCCAAATCCACTTTTATGAGGTAAATGGTTAACGTTTTCCACAACTTTATTTGGTCTTAATTGGGGGTGAGGGGAGGAAAACAATACAATGACTGTTTTAATTTCTTTATTTATCAATAGTATCCAAAAAAAGGGGGGGGAGGGAAGAAAAAAAAAGAATCAGGAGTTACAAAAACAAGTTAAATGCAATATGGAAGCCTACTAATACAAATACATTTCACAAACACATAGGCAACAGAAACCTGTTCAAATTTGCTTCTTGAAATTTGATTATTTAAAAACTTAAGTGTAAAGGAAAGACATTCAGATTTGTCCACATGGGCTTATTAGCAGGTGGAGGAGCCCTGCTTTCCAAAAACAGTGATGGAGTCCAGAGTCATGGCATGTGAGAAGGTTTCCATGAACACTGAATCTTAGCAGATGCCATGTTAATAAAATCATACACACACTGAGAAAGCCCAAGGAAGCTTGCAGTCTAAGCCCTGTGCTTGTAGAGAGCTGGAGGAACTGAACCTGGTTTAATCCTATTTGCTCCATGCAAAGCTCTATGCAAGACTCCCCAAACTAGGCTATTTAGCAGCTTTCCATGAATGGTCATCAGATTGTGTGATTCTATGGTGCAGACAACAGCGGCCCTATTTACAGGAGGAATGCAGATTTGCTCTTGGGAATTCCATGTTGCAGGGTTGGGTAGTCTTAGATGGCAACCACTCTCCTGAATGTAACTGGTGAGGAGACACTCTGGCTTCTAGCTTTAAACAAACTGGTACTCCTGCACTCTCTCAGTGTCCAAAGACTGGCAAAACTCAATCAAGGTGTGCTCTTGGGAGTTCTCCGAGGCGACTGGACAGGAAGGTGCATTTCAGTGTGCACAAGTGGGGCCTGAAGAGAGCTTTTAAATGAGATGGGATGTATATAAAAGCTCAGAATTCTAAACAAAATGGGATGTTCTCCTTTCAAAGAACAAGGAATCTTGTTTAGAAGGAATTCCACATTCAAGCACAACTTTCTCAGAGTCTCCTGGGCAGTGCAATCTACCTAATTTCCCTCTCATGGTCTGTAATCTGCTTTCTGAAAATGAGATCTTATGTCAAGTGTTTAATCTTTATTGTTCCAAGTGCATCTTAAACATGATAAATAGTGGGGTTAATAATCACAGAGTCCAAAAGATAGGAATGATAAATTTCTTCCCAATCACAGTTTGAAGACTCCATTTCTATCCCCCGCCCACCCCGCCACCTCTTTAAAATGTGAAACCATCTTTTGTCCTCATCTTGAAAGGGAAAGCTACTTCTGTTTCCAAGAAGGTTAAGAACGGAGCGCAAAAGTGAAGGCAAAGTGAAGTGGTTCTCCTTCCCATTCTCTTCCTGGATAGACTTTACCCAAGAGGGCTCTACATCACAGCACAACCCGTGCAGCCCTCTGGAATGAGGTCAGATTTGGTCATCTTGTTTTTAGCCATCTGACCCTTTTGTTTTAACAGTAAGGTTTCATTTATCCTAAGGAGAAGGAAAATCATAGGAACCTGTATCCTTCTGGACCGATTATCCGAACCACAGAATTTATAATTTATCAAATTGAAAGGTTAATGCATTCCTACTTGCTCACTGAGGAAACTGAGGCCCAGAAATAGGAAGAGACAGGGCCAAAGTCACTCTCCTAGTTAATGGTGGCTCAAAGAGCATATTGATAGGCTAAGCCTTGCTTGGCTACACTTGTCTCCATCCTTTGGAATACTGATTTGCATGACCTTATCAGAATAAATGGAAACAAATTAGCTTTTTGGACCTTAAAAGCTTTGTAGGGAGACGCTTCATAGTCCCCTGACTTCTGCCTGAGGCACCCGCTGGCAGACTGCTGATCCACTGGAAGCCAGGGGAACAAAACTCTGAGCTGCATCTAATATGTGGCAGGGTGGGTGGAGTCTGGGTTATAGCGGTCCCTGCACCCGAAAGAACCCCAAACCCTCCCACCCCTGAAATGGTAGGACTACTGAAAAATAATTACAAAAGCTTAATTTCTAGTCAAGAAAATAAAATATTAAAAAACAACAATAATATAGTGATAATAATTGAAGAATGAAGTCAACTTGCCAAAAAAAGTTTTCCAGAAAAATAGCACCTTTGGTAAGAAGTTTAAAAATTTGGTTAGGTCTCTAAGGGGCTCAAAGTATACAAGTATCTGCATCATTTGTGTATACCCTCCCAGAAACTCCCAAGTCTAGGGGACACCAGGTAACAAGAATGGCTGTGTAGCTAGAGGCAGTGGTTGGGGCCATGAGAGGCACAGACGCCGGCGGTCTGTCACGCCGATGGCAACCGGAAGGGCTGGACGCGGAATGTGTTCCTCTCCACTGAGCTTCCCAAACCCCTCCTCTGGGGCAGCCTGCAAAGTTCTGTCTGGCATTGCCTGCACTCCCGGCAGCATGTTTATAGCTGTGGCAGACTGGGGTTCAGATCTGGGACCGACCCTCTCCCAAGCCTGATGCAGTTTCCTTACTTGTCTCCAGCCCCTGAGCACCATGTACAGTTTCTCTCAAAGCACTCCTTGAAATGAAGGCTATGGCCCTTCCCCTCCTAGCCAGCCACCCCCATTTCCTTTATTGCAAAACAAATAGACAAAATAAAAACTCATTGCTATACAAGCAAATACTGGTGATTGGGCGATTGCAGCAGACACTTGCATATACTGGACTCAGCGCTGAAGTGGAAGAGAAGGTGCCAGCTCTGGACACCCTTCCCAGGTGCCTCCTCTTTAGATCTCTTTGGTGCTCATTTTCTTGGTCTTTTCAGCTGTTTCCTTTGAGAAGCAGGAGAAAATAAGCATTGTGAATTATTAAAAAAAAAAAATCACTGGCATCTATCTAGTCCTCAAGATTTTATATAGCATCCACAGAGACATGCTTCTGCTAAATTTTAGTTCTGTTTACTTGTCTGTCTCTCCTGTGGATGAAAACAACCTGAGGGCAAAGATCACGTCTTATTTTTGACATGGTCACATAGGGGCTGTCACTGAATTAAGAGCTGAGCTCATTTGAATGCCTATGAAACCACAGGTCAGACATGATTATCCCCATTTTAAAGATGAAGAAAAGGATACTAAATGCAAGTACTACAAGATGTTCCAAAAATCCCAGCCGAGAGAGGGGTTAAGCACAACAGGCTCTTGAGGCAGACTGTCTGAACTTCAATCGTGGATGTGCTACTTTCTGAGGGACTTCGGGCAAATTATGAAAACTATGCCTCAATGTCTTCATCTACAAAATGAGGGTAATAAAGCACCACATCTTACAACATGTCAAATTTCTCCAAAGAAGCCATTCTTCCTTATGGCCAGTAAGCACATGAGAAATTGTTCAACATCATTAGTCATTAGGGAAATACAAGTCAAAACTACAAAGATATGCAACTTCACACCCACTGGGATGGCTAAAATAAAACATAATGGACAATAACAAATGCGGTGAGTTTGTGGAAAAATAGGAACACTGCTGGCTTGGATGTAAAATGGTACAACCACTTGAAAAACAGTCTGGCAGTTCCTCAAAAGATTAATCACAGAGTTGCCATATGATCCAGCAATTGCACTCCTAGGTATATACCCAAGAGACCTGAAAATGTATGTCCACACGAAACTTGAACAAGAATGTTCACAGCAGCATAATTCATCATAGCCAAAAAGGGGAAACAACCAAAATGAGCTGGTGAACAGACACACAAAATGTGGGAAATCCATACAATGGAATGTTATGTAGCCATGAAAAGGAATGGAGTACAACTAATGCTGTAACAAGGATAAGCCTTGAACACATTACACTGGGTGAAGGAAGGCACACAGAAAATACCAAATAGTGTATGATTCCATTTGTATATGTCCAGAATAGGCAAACCTGTAGAGTTCGAAAGTAGATGAGTGGTTGCCAGGGGCTGGGAGAAGAGAGAATGGGGAGTCCCTTCTAATGGGCCTGGGGTTTCTTTCTGGGATAATGAAAATGTTCTGGAATTAGGCAGTGATGATGGTTGATAATTTAGTGAATATACTATACTAAACCACTGGATTGTATACTTTAAAAGGGCGAATTTTATGGTATATAAATTATATCTCAATAAAAAATTAATTAGGAAATAAAACACCAACAGTGCCTGGCATCTAGCAGACACTGTTGGTTTCCCATCCGTAGCCCCCTTAGCATTTCACTACACTGGCATGGCTTCTTCCTGCCAACACCTGCACCTCTTTGCCTGAGACTTCCTCTGGCTGCTGGAGCCGGCTCTGCCCACACATGTTGGCAGGCCAGAGATGCCCGGGAGTTCATGCTGCTGCTGGTGGCCCTCACCAATGGCGCCTGGGAGTGTGTGGAGGAATACCCCCGCTCCCTTCCCCCTCAGGCATGAAGTCTGGTCCCAGCCCTCCAGAGCAGCACCAAGCTCCACACGTCTCCAGCGGTAACATGCCTGGATATACACTCTTTATTGCTTCCTTCCCTCCCTGGGCTGGCTTCCCAACTCCCCTCCTGGTGTCTCCTAGGATTGCTAAATCAACTATTTGTACTCGAGTCCTTGCCTTAGCGTCTGCTTTCTGAGGGAACTCACATAAAATGCATAAAACTGTTACCTATTATAATTCACTCCCCACTGTCTACTCTGATCATTTCCCCACCCCAGAGGAAAGGAATTCCTATTAAGTTCTTTTTTTCTTTTATGTGGTCAGACTTGTCTGGAGACTCAAGGCTGATGAAATATGGAAAAACAGAAAGCTAGGAGCTTCTGCTTTGGCTTAAAAAACTGACAGGAGGTTTCTACGTTATCAGCGACAATAATGACAAAATGCATATAAAAAACCGTCAGTAAATATGAGCAATTATTATTTTTGAGCACTTAATAATTATTTTCGAGTCAAATACTTCATCTCAATAGTTGAGCAGCTCTGTGACTGTTAAATTCCCTCAGAACTTAAGTCAGAGAGAAGGCTTGTATACCAGACCCAGTCTGCAGACAAGTGACATGAGGCCCAATATCCTTTGTAACTACATGGTAAGGCAGCGGGAAGACAGGCCCTTATAGCCTGCATATCCGGGTTTTCTCTCCAGCCCTTACCAAAGTATGTCAGTGAATCGCTATTCTGCCAAGAGTCTTTTTCCCAAGAAGGCCTTCAACTTAATGACACAGAACCTGAACAGAATTCTTATTATCTTCTCAAGTCTCCAGGAAGCAGAACCTCTAAGTTCTCTGGGTTTGTCAATCCCAGGCTGTTTTCTAACCAGCTTGGCATTAAACTGAGATCCTTTCTGCTGTGGTCCACATTCACTAATTTCCTGCTCATTGCCCCCAAGGAGCTCCTAGTGTTCGGGTCTGGGCACTGCTCGTGACAGGAAACAGTAATACCACTTTAGACCCTGCTTATTTGCAAACCACTGCCAACCTATCTGCAGATCGCCACCTGCCTGATTCTTACCTATAAAGCCATTTACCAAGCTGTAGCCTTCATCTGCTGGGACCTGCTGGACCCTGGAAGGACTCCATCAGGAACTGTCTATATCATGGTTTGCTACTGTGGGTTTACCATTCAGGACTTACTGTATGGACCAGAGTGGCCCCTTGCTCTCATGCAGCATTAGGCAGTATCTGAATGGTGGAAGGGCCTAGTGGTCAGCAAATCCTGAGCCAGCATGGAGGTGGCAACTTACCTGGTGCTTTTGGAGCTCCTGGACATATCTGGTCATCTCCTCCTCCGTCTGGGTCTGGGCCCCCTTCTGATTCTTTCCTGCAAGAAGAACCAAAGCTCAGAGCAGTGGTCACTGAGGGAAGTCAGTTCAGGCTCCCACCAATAGCTACCTTGTAGGCTCTCAATTTCCTCTCCCATTTAACCTATGGAAGGAAGGGTGAACTGCCTGCATTTCTGTGAATATGAAGTGTCCCAGTGCAACGGACACCTTCCAAGTAACACACTGTGAACAAAGCAATCTCCTTCACTTTCCTCTGGCCTCAGGGGAGCCTTCCCCCCTCCAGCGCAGCCATGCCAGGGGCAGGGCCTGCAGCGAAAGCTATGGGGAGTATCTGGGTCTTGACTCAGGAAGATCCTCTAGGCCAGTGATTCTCAACAATTTCCACACCCGCAAAATGTCCTACAGAACTTTTTGAGATACAGTTGTTTAAATTCTACTTTTAGATTCTGATTTAATTGTTGTTGGGCACCAGGATTTTATAAAGGCTCTAGGTGATTCTAATGTGCAGCCAGGGTTGATAACCACTGCATCTAGCAATGTTTCCCAAATTTACAGTGTGGCTAGAAAAAATCATAGAATATATCCTAAAAACGTAGGTTCCCGAGCTGCCCTTTTGTGGATTCTGATTCAGTAGGTTTGCGAGGGAATCTGTACTTTTACCGAGAATAGTGTTTGCTGTGAGGAAACACCACTCCACCATGCCTTCTCGAGTTTGGCATTACTCTGCCCCTCACGGCAGTTTCCTTCAGCTCTGGCTCCACCTGGTTTCACGTCTTGACGCCGCTTTTTCTTTGTCCCATTGGGATTTGTGATCTAAGACCAGATTGCCTTTCAGGTACTGACTTTGGAATATGGCCTCTACAATGTCCTCTCAGATCCATGACCCACACACCAAGACAGGTTCACCTTGGGGCACTGCCATCTCCGGTGCTCTTTATACCCACAGAGGGCCCTGAACCTGGGCCATCCAGAGAGGGAGGACAAGTTGTCCAGTGTGGCTGTGGAAATGGGCATTGTCTCATGGAGACGATCATTTGGGTTTTGTCTGATGCATGTGATGGGGCTTATTATCCAGATGGGCATGGTTATTCTGTAAACCAGCGATTTAACAATTATCTGTGTCTTAAAAATGGATGGCTACCCTTACAAAGCCAGACCAGGCACAGTTAGGTGTAAAGAACTACCACAGGGGGTTTTGGGAAGATAAATATAGGATGCTCCCTGATTGAGGCATGCTGGGTCATATTTTGAGATGTTCTCTCTTGGCTTCAATAGCTACTGTGTGCTTAGCCTGGCTACCCTGACTTACAGTTTTGACTTCCAGCAATTTCTAGTTTCTAAACAGCCTCTTCCTGCCCTTTCATTTGTCTCTGGAATTGTGTTGGCTTCTTGCCTTTCCACACTGAGAAGAAACTTGGTCCCGGGCAGTGACAGACTAGGGATCCCCTGGTAGGACTGAGTCCATTTGTACTGCTGCTGCTGCCTACGCTTCTTATCTAGAATCACCTCTTCTGGATCTTTGACCTCTGTCTCCCAGTTTCCATCTTATCTGACCTCCCTGAACATGATCCTAAGACCAGTCTGCTTTTTTTTGGTCTCAGTTTTTTTAAGATTTAATTTTAAATTCACCCCATCTGGCGTAAATTTTGGGTTTGGTTCTTGCCAACTGACCTTTCTTCTCAAACCCAATGTGACTCTCCATTCTAGATCTGGCTTCACCTTCACTGTCTTTCTTTCCTCTAATCTGAATGGTGCCTGTTTTTTTCCTATGACCTGGCTCTGATTCAAGACTTTCTTTTGATCTCTGGCATCATTCCAACATGCCATGTGGTTTCTGCACTTGTCCCCCAAATTCTCTCTGACATCTCTATCTCCTCAACCCACACTGACCATGTCTCAACTTTTTTTTCCTTAGGGATTACCCAGGTCTGTTAATTCAAAGAGGGCCTATGAACATTTCTCTTTTTTCTGCTGGGTATGGATGGCAAGGAGGAGTCATTTTGTCTTCCAACCACCTGAGTGTTTTACATAGAGGATTTCCTAAGCTGTCCTAAGGATTAAGTGGGTAAAGTGCGTAGGAGAGTGCCTGGCACACAGCTCTAAGTATTTGCTTTCATTATCATTATTGTTACTATTATTATTATTCCAATCTCATATCAACATTTGACCTTGCCCTGCATCTTAAACCTCTTTTCTGCCAAGCCTCTGGAATGAGTAGTGACCTTAATGCATCTGGCAGAAGTGCTTTGCCCTCGATGCTGCCCACTGGGCGCTCTGACACTACAAATTGGAGTCTGTGACTTGCTCCCCAGTTTCCTTGCTCCTGGCCACTGCACTCTTCTCCATCATCCCCACCCCGATTTCTCCTATGTTGAGTTCACAAAGGACGCTCTCTCCCCGCCGTTCCTCCCTCCTGACTGAGGGACAGCGCACCGTCACATGTCATGGCTGTGCAGACCCAGTTTCCACAGGCACAGACGCAACGGTTACAGTCCACCTCGGTCTCCGCTCCGTCTGCGTACGTCTCATCCTCCAGGGCACACTCTGTTGGGACCAGAAATAAGGGGCATCGGTTTAGGGTGAGGGTGGAACGGGACCTGCTGGCTACCGTCTGTGCACTTTACCCCTTTCCCAGACAGCCCTGCTTCGGCTTATCCTTCAGAGGCAACATATCTGGGTAAATGATGCCATCGATCCAAAGATTTCTGGACGCTAACCTCAGCATGTAGATGATGGGCTAGGGCCCAGTCTAGAATTGTCGAAGGAAATTTTCTTAGCAAGCTCTGGAAAATTCCATCAAGTATCTTTATCTTGGCCCTCCCCAAAGGCCCCCATTCCCTACAGCTTCATATTTCTTAGGTTAAGCATACTCTTCTCTGGAGGATTGAAGGTCGGGTTGAGGCATTTGAGGAACTCTTGGAAGCTGAGTTTCCAGTCAGCATTTTCGTCAGACAGTTCAATGAGAGCATCAACACAGAGCCCTCTGGAACAAAATACAGGAGAAATGTGTCAGCAAGACCTCAGCATCACTCCCACAGAAAGGAACTAAACATCGGATCACATACATCTGGGACCTCCAGGAGGCCAAGGGGGCGACTGTTAATTGAAGAACTTTCTGCACTGCCTTCCCACAAGCACCATCCATCCTGACTCCTGTGAGCATCCAACCTTTACTTTGTTATACTTGATGTCAGATTATTCACACTATTCAAATGTGCCCAAGAAGACTAAAGTTTCTTGAATGGTTTTGTCCACTTTGATTGACAAATGTTCTCACTGCCAATGCACCTTCCATGAGCAATTGCCTTTCCCCATGGTACTGGTTAAGTCAACCAAACGAGGGAAATCAAAACAGAAGGGAGATGAATAGATGATAGGAATGGAATGTGTGATGGAGTTCAAGCAGGCATCGTCATCATCACTATTCTAGAAAGATAAACGTATGTTCGGAAAAGTTTTATGGAACCCCAGTTCCCTCATGCTCCTCTTGGCCTGGATTTGAGCCCTAGTTCAATCACTTCCTACCCAAATGGCCTTGAGCTAGCTCTTCAACTTTTCTGAGCCTGTTTTCTCATCTGTAAAATGAGGACAGAGAGGCCTCCTTCACTGGGATATTAGGAAGATCAAACATTGAACTTGTAAAATATTATTTAATTTCAAATTATCAAAATATGAAGGATTTTCAAATATTATACTGTAAGGTCTTGGACTACTAAGAAAGAATCATTCCAGAATCTGGGCTTCATGCTTTCTATTTCTTCTGAACAAAAGAGGTGCTGCTCCTATTTTTAATTCTTGCTGATGTACTGGAACCACACCGGAAGTTTCTTAGGGGTTAATTTTTATTAATATTTACTCTGGAATAATATCAGAAAAGGACAGGGACGTGCTCTCATTTGTGACAATTAGGGTTCTCTATGTGAAATAGCACCAATTATCTTAAAAATCAGAACTAAAGCTATTTTAGACTTGCAGTTAAAGAATACAGTAGTGTAATTCCTTCAGAAAATTAACCATTAAAACATTACCCACGGTACTCAGAAACACTTTTGCTCTGATGTGACCTTGATAATTTATTTTAAGATTACATTCCATTGCTTGCAAGTTCTGGCCAAAAACAATAACTATTTGATCAGATACCAGGGGTGCTCAATATATTAGTTCATAATGTTCACAAAATAGACCAGGACAGAATTCCTATTTTGCTTTTTACTTTTCATTTGCACTGGCTGCTCCCTGTAGGGAGGAAGGGGTTCAAATCCCCTTTCCTAACCAGCCTTCGCCTCGTGGACCACTCCCTGACCCCTCAACTCCACTCACCTAAGCAGTTTGTTGTTCTCCTGGTCTGTGTAGGTAGTGATGTTGATGGCAGTTTCATTCTGCTCCACAAATTTCAGTAATTCACTGGAGTCCAAGCGAGAGTCACCATTATCAACGTTCTAGAAAGGGGATGAAGAGCTCTTTCAGGAACATTTTGTAGAACTGTCTCCCTCTCAGCTTGACCCATCTTTGGTTCATCTTGCTCATTCCAACCCTGCCCCGGCCTCAGAGCTACAGCAACACAGGCTTGAAGATGTGAGAAGGCACCTGCACCCCAAGATGAGAGAGGGAAAGTGTGTGGGCAGAGGCCGCCGAGGGCCTTTCAAACCCAGACCTTGCTCAGAAGGGCAGCTGGGATACAGCCCTGTGTTTACGCAAGCAGCTGGGGTCCCTGTGGGCGCTCTGCAGCCTCACCCCTGACACTGTCCTGCAGACATTCTCCACATAACATCTGGGTGCAGGCCAGCCACCAGACCCTGTTCTCAAACCTCACTGGACATGTAACAACATTCTGAATCAGAATCTGTGGCAGAGCCCAGGTATATGTGTATATTTCTAACAAGCTGCTTCAGAACAACAATGCAGGTGACCCTCAAAGCTCACTCTGGTAGTCACAAGACCACTTCTTGCTGCTTGATTTCCCTGGCCTGCTCTCATGCTTAACATTCAGACTGGCACCCTAACCAAGCACATCAGTGAGAAGTCACAAGCATAGGCCCCCAATTGATAACCTGCAGGCAGAGATGGTGCAAAGCCCCCCCCCCCGCCACCCCTCTGCTCTGAGCTGGGGGCCCCACTGCAGATGTGTGCACGGTCCTTGGCTTACGGAACATAGGCTGTCCTCAAGACCCAGCTGACATCCCACGAGCACAAGGTGAGGGTACAGTGAGCTCAGGCATTATCCCCTCTTTGGCAAGATGCTAAACCTAGACTATAGCCATTTGGGACCATTCAACATGCCTAGGCACCCCCTGCAGGAGGAGGGTGTCGAGGTCAAGGTCTTACCAAATTCTAAGTTGATACTGCTGCTCTCCTAAATAGTTCCAATGGGGGAAAAATGTTTTTGAAAAATTCTTTCCCTAGGCTGCCTCGTCTTGCTGCCTTGGGAAATAATCAGCATTCCCGCGTTACTTTCAAGGTGGCTCTCCAGATGGTGTAAGGGCTTTGGGAAGAAAAGTCTGTCTAGGCTTCCGGGTAGAAGGGACTCTCTTTCCATGACTGTCCTGTGTCACATGTGTTCTACTCTAAGGTAGTAAATCTTTCCATAGTATGTATAATGCCGGGTGTGTATAAAACTATGCTAGCCCTTGCTTAGGGCCTTTTCATCATTCTTGTCCCAATTCCTAGCAACAGGTCTCCGATGTTCTCTAGTCCCTATACATCCACCCTGAGGAAACCGCCTTTCACCGTGTGAAGGCTTGATTACTTAATGGAGAGAAATGAAATAAGGTTGGCCAGGGGTCATTCTTAGCAGTGCAGGACTTTCTTGAATCTAAATGTTCCACGTGCTGGACAGACAGAAGCAACCCTCACAGACCCCAACACCATCAGAGCCTAATGAGAGAGTGAGCCTGAAGAGGAGTCACGCAGCCATGGCTGCAGACCCAGGGCCACACGGCCCCTGGGCCCACCAGGAACCTGCGACTATGGCCCAGGCAGCTCCCAAAAGGCAGCGCTAAGTGCCCACACTGCACATTCAGTAGGGCCAGAATCCAGGCCTGGAGCTGAGGGGAGAGCCAGTCAGTCTGCACGCTCATCTCAGGAGGGACCAACCAGGCCTCCCCAGGCCAGCTCTGTATGTGGAATCCATAGGAAAACAGAGGTTTGGTACCTGCCCCAGAAATATCCTGGACTGCCCGGGGGCCTGCAGTCGCTCATACACAGCAGCTGTGGTGATGGGGCACATGATCCCAGAGTAAGGGAGGTAAGAAGTCTGGCTCCGACTGTGGCCCTGGCCACCAGGGGGGGTCTGCCACCAGGAGTCCAGTGTGTGTCTATGATGTGATCATGACAGGCTCTCTCTACCTGGGCCTATTACACTTTCACTGGAGAAATCATGAATGAATCACCAGGTGAAGTGAGAGTCCGGTTTTGGTCTTATCTCAGTTCTGATTAGATTTTCTTTTCAACTAATTTTGATGTAAGGAATACCAGTTGGGCTGGAGGGCAGTCCCTGGTTCAGAAACAGTTTCTGTGAGATACCACATCTCTCACCAACAGGCAGTTATCTGCCTAGTGAGAAGGAACCTCCCTTTGAAGACTGCACCACACAGGACTCCAGTAACCACCAAAACGTAGATAGTGAAACCCCTATTTTCTCAGAGGACACTGCCGGAGTGTCTCGGAAAAGCAAGCTTTGTATGAGTCAGTCATGATCAAGCTTTTGTGGTTAGGAGTGAGAATGCCCTAGAGGAAACTACTTTCTCAAGGGGTCTCAATTGGAGAAGTTACTGCTGGGGCAGGTGGAGAGGTGTGAAAGGGGTGTGGGGCCCAGGTACTTGGGAATCAAATCAGTAGCAGGTTCCATTGATGCCTGAGGCAGGGTGCCTCCAAGGGGCCACTAGGAATGATTACAAGGTCCCAAGAGGCCCCTTGGAAAGAGTGTTCTGGGTCTCCTGGGCCTTAGCAGCCATGGCCAAGTCACTGCACACAACCTGGCAGGTGCTGCTCTGAAAATCCATTTTCTTCAAGTTACTTTCTGCTCCTGTGTGACTCTCCTGTCTTTGCACTATCATGTGTTTCTCTGGAGATGAGGAACTACCCTCTGCCCCAAGGGCTCTGTAATGCTGGGGGAGTGAGACAGAGGATAGCCCGAGAAGAGCTGTGCCAGGTGTGATCTCAAACACGTGGAACCCAGAGACATACTTTCTGCCTCGGGAGAAACAACTTGCTAAAGACAGGAACACAAGCGAAGTCTTAAATGACCAAAATACCCAATCCAGTATTTCTCCATCTGTGGGGTCCATAAAGTCAGTTAGGAAGAGGAATCCACAGACCAGCCTGGTTTTGACCACATGTGATGGCCACAGAGCCACTGAGAAATCCCTCATGTGTCTGGGGTTGCTTGTGAGTCCAGGCTGGTTATGGCCTGGGACAGCAGGCCCTGGAGACACGGGAACATGTCCATCTGTGGGTGAGCATCTGAGGGCATCCACCTAGAGATGTGTGTCTGTAAGTAAAGGGGGCTTTTTACTTCTGTGGCAATGTGGGTATCTGAATGTGTGTCTGTGAGGAGGCTGTGTCTCTGTGTGGGGTGTGCATCTCTATATGTGGGATGTGTGTGTGGTGTGCATGCTTCTGCTTATGGTATTTTTATCTTTGGGTGTGATGTACATAAGTGTGTGTCTGTGTCTTGTCAGTCAGCTGGAAGAGTGTCCTTAACTGCTTCTTCTAACAATGTCTTAGGCTATCTGAAAAATCTCCATGCCATGCAAGCCCTACTCATTGCTAACTACTATTTCCGACTTTTATCAAAGCAGCATCTCTCCTGTCCCTAATTGGAACAACCTGTCTCTTAAACTAAGTGATGGGACAAGCAATATCTAGGTTCATGAAGAATCCTGGACCCATGGAATGCCAGTCCGTGGACTCTTCTCAGATGATGAGGAGCTCTATAGGGCAGAGACGATCAAGTTAATGACTCGGAGAAATGTCAAGCTGTGTGGGAAATGCCTGGGTCTGGGTGAGATCAGAAGGTATACTGTACCAACAGCCAGCTCTATGAGGTAGAGGGTAGGGAGATACATATGGGGTAGGGGGATACAGCCTGGCCATATACATGTGCATTAGATCCCAAAGGCTCTACTGCTGGAATCCCACTGGTCAAGCTGGTCAGAAAGCAAATGTCATAGCTTCATGGAATGATGGGAAGATGTGATCAGGCAATGGGAGAGGAAGTCTCCCTTTGTCTGTGGCTGAAGAGTCTTTGACCCCAATTCTGGATTACCTTAAAGTACTTGTCTAGGATTTCACTGTAATTGCTGCCTTTAGAGAACCAGCCATCTGGAACAATCTCTGCTTCCAGCCACTGGATAATGCGACGCCGGAGCTCATCGCGGTTGGACTGATAGCAAACAACTGCAGGAAAGGGGAGGGAGATCAGCTGAGTGGTGAGGACCCCAAGGTCACCCCGCATCCACTACATGGGAGGTTCAGTGCCTGGGGCTCTGCATGCGACATCTCACTGAATTTTCACAGCACTCCAGGGACACAAAATTATCACACACATTTTATAGGAGTCAACCCAGGAGAGACAACTGGAAAGTGACTAAACCAGGATTCAAGCTTATGTTTCTAAAAAACTTGTAAGAATTGAGAATATTGAAAAGAGAGACTGTGTTGCTTAGGTGAGAAAAACATCGGCAGAAAAATAAAGGACATTTTCATTAACTTCAGGAAGCTAAGGGGGAAAAAATCTATCGATCAATAAACAGCTCTCTTGGCTCACAGATGAGCTGAAATAATAAGTGCATGAAGGAGCACATTATAATCCTTCATGCCACCAGATTTTACATTCTCTCTCTATAGCTTTTTCCTCTTACCAACTGGGTCTATCAAAACTCTCCCACTTAAAATTTTACACTGTCTGAATTATCCTTTGTTCTAAAACACAGAAAACAAGGTCAAGAAAGGGCCATGCTGAAACCCTGCTCTGGACAGCTGTTTCAAGACACTTGGCAGTAACAGGTGGGACTGAGAGGTGGGTCGATGGGGGACAGGGAAGGAAGAGCTTTGGCAAGAGGAGATTCCTAGAAGACAACACACAGTGGGATGTGATAAGGGCCCTGAGCCAGGGGAATGGAAATCTGGGCTGCCACTTCCAAGCTGTTTAATGCTGGGAAATTCACTTAACTTCTCTGAGCCTCGATTTCCTCATCTATGAGGTCATTACAATAAGGTCTACCTCACAAGATTATTGTAAAGATCTAAGGAAAAGCATATGCTAGAGGTTCTGTAACTATAATGATGAAATTTTAATTTTGATTCATGGAAAACCATGGAAAAAGTCCTACTGGCATTTCCAATTATCTCCTTTCAAAGAAAAGTTGTGCCTTCTGATTCTGCTAGTCCTGTGCCATCAGCCTATCTTACAGAGCATCGAAGGAAGGATTCAGTGGCTTTCCTGTCCTTTTAATGCAATCACTACTCAGCAAAAATGGAAAACACAGCCAACATTCTGACTCAACCAGCCACTTCAAATGTCAAGCACACACACACACAAAAAGCAGTTTTGCCGCTTTTCTGAGCTATGTTGAGGAGTGACCAGTTCTGGGTCACAAGTTCTGACACACAGATCTTGTGAGCTTCAGCAGGGAATGTGAAACACAAAATTCCCTCACAAAAAGAATCTCTTCCCTAAAAGGCACCCTGAAGAAAAAAACAGGCTCTCACCTGGGCTGGCAGATGGACTTATGGATTTCTTCTCTGCAAGACAAAAGGAGAAAATGCGTAAGGCCAAGTGAAGACAAAAGAACATTTCTGTGTATTGCTCGGATTAAAGTCATCCCACGTTAAGGGGGCCATTTACAATCTTTTCATCATTTTGTCCTGGGTCCCTGTCTCCTTTCCCTCTTCCAGGGCCTAAGTATGGAGATCTTTTCTTCCCGGCTCTATTTGACATTTTTGGGCCACTGAGTCAGCCTTCCTGGTCTCATACCTCCTCCTGTTAGGTTGAGGGGTGGGGATGGGTGGCTGGGACTTTGAGAATTCACATGGAATCATTACAGAGAGGAAGATGGAGTGGAGACCCACATGTGGAGACAGTTTCTTGTTTCACCGGGGCAGTTCAGGCTGGGGGGCTGCTGAGTAGGACCGCGGCTCGGCAGGGAGCTCGTGTCTAATTACCAACGAGCTTAGGACCCCCTCCCTCTTACCCTACTGGCAATGGTTTGAGTGCAAAATAGAGGAAATATATAGACCAGGGCTGAGAGGTGCCCAAATTTAAAAAGTGAAATTCGGGGTACCTGGGTGGCTCAGTCGGTTAAGCATCCGACTCCTGGTTTTGACTCAGGCTGTGATCTCGGTCATGAGATCGAGCCCCGTGTCGAGCTCTGTGCTCAGCGTGAGGTCTGCTTGAGATTCTCTCTCTCCCTCTCCCTTTGCCCCCACCCTACCGTACTCTCTCTCTAAAATAAATAAACAGAATCTTTAAAAAATAAATAAAAAGTGAAATTCACCCGCTTTTAAAAAAGGCATAGAGTTCATTTAAACACTTCCTTATTATTGTTGATTACTGATGTGGTTCCCTATGCACTGCAGACAGTACTGGAAGCTCCCCTGGGAGTCTGATGCAGGAAACCCTGGGCACAGGTCTGGGCAAAGCCAGGATCCAGGGCAAAGCCAGTAGGCTCATGAGCGCAAGAGCATGCATCTCCAAGTAGCTGGGTGGTCTCCGTGGCTTTGGGTGCTGTGGTCCAGTGGAAAGGAGTGTGGGAAGCCAGGCCACACTGCTGCATCCCATGGCTCCTCTGGCTGGAGCTGGGAGATGGTGGTAACAGTACTCCTTACCTTTGCAGTGTCCATCATAATCGACCTGGATTTTGGATCCAGTGAGGCAGGCGTCTCGATGCAGCTCACAGTGGTTGAGGTAGGTCTTGCCGTTGCTGCCGCACACAGGCCTCTTGTGAGGTTTGCATTGCTGAAACAGACCCGAGGAGGTGGTCTCTGTGGTCAGGGCGCCAGCATGCGCATGCGCACACGTGCACCTTGTGGCTACATCCTGGGAGGGAGCCTCAGCTCTGGCATCAGTGACTCTACTCTGTGCAGCCTTGGAGGCACCCCAGCATTTTACAGCCCTGCATGGCCCCCTGTGCTGATCCCGGTTCAGGGCCATCTCTTTCATTCAGTGAAGGAGTAGACCACCCTGACCCTATCGAATCAGCAGGAAGGGCATTTTATTAGAAGTCGGGAATCTGGACGCTCTAGACAAGTACTTTTAAAGCTCACTTTGGAGAAAGTCACGCGATGTCTTTGGATGATCTCAGGTCCCTTAAAACACCAACATTCTAAGACACAAGAGCCAGAGCTGAGACTGGGGGATGTGGAGAATGACAGGCAGGTGCGTGCGTGTGTGTGCGCGCGCACACACACACACACACACTCACACACACACTCCAGTGCTTCAGTTCTTCTGGGGTTTAACTAGAAGGATGTTTGCTCTCTCGCTTTGTGTAGTATTTGGGGGCCATTTTGTTTTCCTCCTGATCTCGCAAGGGCTGTTGTGAGGCAGGGCTGGGGATGCTGGTCTTTGTGAAGTATTGCAGAGAATCGTTATGGACAGGGAAATGGACTAAAGTTCACTTGGCAACTCGGTTCTATGCTGGCTATTTAAAGGGCCATGGTCACAGGCAAGCTTGGTTTCTTTAGACGTTTGCAGTTTTTGAAAGGTGGTAAGGGGGAAGCAAATTCAGCTCAGCCCTAATGAAGGCACCAAAGCCAGAAAGACCAGATGTGGTAAGAAGGAACACAGAACACTGGAGCTGGAAGGTAGCCCCGCCTCTCCAATTTTAGATGAAAATACCAATGTTTAGGAAGACAAACTTCATTTAACCAATTTTTATTATTGAATTCTTACTAAACGTTCTACATGCTGGGCAAACATAGTCTCTTGTCTTTGCAGCATCCAGTGAAAACTGATTTGCTCGAAATCACACAAATATATGTGGTCAAGGTGAGACTAGACAGCAGGTTTCCTGACTCTAAGTACAGGCTCATGTCATCACACAGTGGCCAGCTACACCTCTGGGGAGAGCCTCCCAGGGTTCCCAGTGGATCTGGTTTTCATGTTTCTAAGTTGGGGGACTTCCTTTCTGAGACAATGGATCAGATCCTTCACCTGGGGACTACATTAGGTGTATTTATTTGCATAAAGGCAAATATATTTCTAGGCTTCTGTTGGTTTGACAGAAAGGGGAAGGAAGGTATTTATGTTTGTCTGAAGAGTGAGAAGTTGTCAGAATCCTGCTTACAAAAGAAGTATTTCTCAAAAGCTCACGTTGCTTTTTAAACCTCATTAAAAACAAACAAACGAAAAGCCCTAAAAAAACTTCATTTCATCTAGTAGTTTTCTAAAAACGTGCATATCCTTTGACTTGGCAAGCCCTAGTGGGAATCAATCCTATAGAAATAAAGGCTGCAGCATGTAAGGATATTTGCACAAGGATGTTATTGTTTGTAGTGGCGAACAACTCAGGAAACAACCTAAATGTCCACCTATGGGAAAATTACTACATAAACATGATACTATTACAAAATATTTGTTTCCATTTTTGTATAAAATAGGGGGGACCCTATATGTTTATAGGAACATAGAAAAACAAGTGGAATAATATATATTGAACTGTTAACACTGGTCATTTCAGACTAATCAGATTTGAGGGTTATGGGGAAGATTATGAATTTTATGTTTATACAAATGTCTGTATTATTTGACTTATATAAAGCATTATTAAAATTTTGACTTAAAAATCTTATAAAACTAAACATCTTTTTAAAAAAGAATATCCCTGCATTCACATTTGGTTTTTAACTTCTGGCATGAAAATCTCTTGTCCTTCAGATAGACACGGTATGCTTTTTATAAAGGTGATGAAATTGTTGGCCCTGCCCTGCTGACTAGCAGCTCCAGCAAGGTAGCCATTTGGCCTTGGCTATTGTCCTCTGGCTCCTGATCTCAGGACTTACCTCAATGCAGAGGCAGGTGGGCTCTCCCTTTTCTGTGACTGCACATTCCCGGCCAGCTCCACAAAACACATTGGCACAGATCTTGGATTTGCTCCTGAGTTCGTCCTAAAACACAAAATCATAAAGGAAACCACGTCACGGAGAAGAGCCTGTCATGGCATAAGCCAATGGTTGTGGCAGTTACTTTCCAGACTCAGGTCTTGGTCTGGAGTTGCAGCTCATGGTTGTTGAAAGTTCCTGAAACAGCTAGAAGCCATCCCCAAGAGCCAGCCCCAGACTTGCTAGCACTGCTCCGGCCCAGGCCCGGCTACCTCGGAGTCCCTCAGATCGTTTCTTAAAGAGCAAGAGACTCTTTATGTGCTTCCTTTCTTTTAAAAATGGTTACTCAACACCCCTGATATTTCAACACTACAGTAAAGAGCTATAAAGGCAGACTCTGTCCTCAAGAAGCTCCGCGACTCTCTGAGGAAGCTCCCAAATAGAGATTTAGAAAGCAACACGGAGGTGCAGCAACAGGAACACCAGGAGCCGGAAGGGAGAAGGAGGGCGAGAATCAAGTGAGGCTTTCTGAAGATAGGATGCCTTAACGAACTCCTAAAGGATGAGAAGAGTAAGCCAGACAGAAATAGAGACATGTGAGAGAAACATGGCTGTCGGAAGGACCAAAATCTCACTGGGTGGTGTTTCAAAAGGCAAAAGAAGGATAGCTAAACCATCGGGAACATGGATTTGCTATTATTCAGTATGGTCTTATTCAGCCCCTGTCCACATCTGCCCCTAGCTTCAAGACCAAGAGGGCCAAACCACCCGACAGACAGTAGAATTATCCTCAAACCACTTGTGGTCAGACATTCTTGTTCAGACGTGCTCAGCAGAACCTGCAGGCAGAGAATGGTCCCAGTCTATGCCACTGAAATGAGACTGGCTGTAGGCACTAATCTGTCGGTGACACATTCCTTCTCTCACATTAATTGGTGGCTAAAAAGCAGCCCCACCTCAGGTGACACGCAGGCCAGCAGCAGTGGTGGTTGAACAAAGGAGAATGTGATTCCTCCAGCCTCTGTCTGACTGCTGAGCAGGCAGTCACCACAGGCCTCCCCGCCCCCACCCACCGGGGTAGCACTAACTGACAAAACCAACAAAGATGGCAGGAGCTGTGGGGGGGGGTCAGTAAAGACAGAGGGGGGACCTCAGATTCCACCCTTCAGACCATGTCTACCATGTCGTGCAGACAACTCACACCCACAAAGCTTGTAATACTAAAACTCTCCTAGTCGGTAAATGTTTCACATCCAAGAAGAGGTCAAAGAAAACAAAAAGCAAAGTAGATATTGAGAGCCGAGGGCTGTGCCCAATACAGCCGGTCTGCTGCCACCTGGAGGCTGCTTTGCGAACTCCAGGTTATTATTGTCTCTCATCTTGCCTGTCATGCAGGGATCCCATTGGTCCAGAAACTCAGGCCATGCTCACATTTCATTGGTTCATAGGCTGTTGCTAAACCCATTCTTCTTTGGATGTTGCTAAGGGGATTTCAATAAAGCTGGCAAGCAGGGAAGAAGAGGAAGTAATTCCCAGAATGCTGGGGTGACTGGAGCGCTGTTGTTTCCTAAACCAGGAGTGGAGATAAAATCAAGCATATTCTCCGGGCAGGGACTTCCTCACTGCGCCTGGGAAGGGAAAGCAGTTCTAAAAAGGAAGAGGAAAAGGCTATTGCTGACCAGTGTAAAATATCTCAGATAAGACCACCTTCTCTCCCCTTCATGAAACAACACTCTAACCAAGAGATACAGACAAATAAATTCATAAAAAGGCATGCCCCGACACAGGCCTACGCTCAAAAGACACCAGTACACAGCTCCACCGGCAGACCTTTTACCACTTGGCTGTGCATCTGTAACTAGTCACTTTAATTCTTTGAACCTCAGTCTCCTCATCTGTAAAATAGGGGTAAATACGAGCCCTGCCTTGTGAAGATGAAACGGTATATTTGGAAGGGCATCATAAACTGAAAGCAAGCAGAGCTTCCTGCAGAATAGCCTGTGGCACGCACAGAGCTCCTTTTACCTTCTGTTACTGTTTTTAGTGAATAATAAAGAGGAATTTACTTCCAGGTTGAATTCAACCCAAGTCATTTTTCCAGAAATAGTTCTCCAAAATCATTTGAAGAAACAGATACTCTTTATTTAAAATATAAGGCCTCATATTTGAGCAGTCCAGTTCAAATTCACAAAATGTTTTCACACATACGATTTCATCTCACTGTATGAACAACCCTGCAAGGACATGTCGATTATTAACCTCATTTTATCAGAGAGGGAACTGAAGATCAGAAAGGTCAAGTGACTTGCCCAAAGGTCCCAAAGCTAAAACTGAGAGGAGCTAGGATTCCAACCTGGACCTTCAGACAACAGATGAGTAAGTTCCCATTTATCAATACCTGGCACTCTTCTAGGTGATTTGGATTATACGTTATCTCACTTAAGCCCTCGGATAACACCATGAGTTAGACATCATAACATCCTCCATTTCACAGATGAGGGAACTGAGCCTTAGAGGTTAAATAACTAGAACATGCCAGAGCTAAGAACCCACCCAACCAGAGGGAAAGCAGTTCCTTTATATTTGATTTACTTTCATAGTGAGAAAATTGAAGGTTAAGGAGATTATGAGAGTGATATGATTTGCATAACTAGCAAATGTGAGAAAGTGCTTCCAAGTGCGTCGGAGAGCCAGATTTGAATTCCTACATCCCACCTCGGCTCCCTACTTGCCATGGCCATGGGCAAGGTACTTTCTTTAGACCTCAGCTTCCTCACGTGTGAAATGGGACCACTCATCCCCGCGAGGGGTGTGTGAGCCCGTAAAGGAGATAGACTGCCTGCAGCAGCGTGCCCGCTCCACAGCTGAGAGCTGCCGTGGTTACTGCCTCTCATTCAATTTCCCCACCGAGTGCCGTTCCCACCTCGGATGTCACGTCCCCACCCAGCCTCTGTTACCCCGAAATGATAATACTGAGAGCGGGAGGTCTGACTGAATGGAAAAAACCAAGGGCTAACAACCCGCCTCCTCTCCCGTTTAAGACCAGAGAGAAAGGGGGGCCGCGCTAGTCACACAGGCATCCCTCTTTGCAGGTGGCACATCTGTCGATAGGTGGCAATCTCTCTCTTTGTCTCGCAGAACCCGACGCCGCAATGCGGAGATGCCGCCTGGACTCCCGCAGCTCCACCCTCCCAGCCTGCGAGCTGTGGGGCAGGAGGTGGGCGAGCACCGTACAGCCACAGGCAGCAGGATTTTTGCCCGCTTGGGAGAGAATGCTCTACCTGAAGCCCTCCAACCTCCCCAGTTCTTCCCATTCACAGGCGTGCTTTCACACGGAAAACAACAATGAAAATTTTCTACCTAGAGGTGGCCTCTTTGTACCATGGAAAGCCCCTCTCCAAGCCCTATGTTCTTGGGGAATGGGATGTCAGGAGCACCCCTGAGGTTCCTAGAAAGTTCTCTGGCATGGTAGGTGGTCTTACCCCTCTGCTGAGTGCAGGAGAAGAACATCTTGAGAGGAGATGCATATGGCATAAACATGTTCCTGCTCCAGGGACAGGGCAATCAGTGGCTGCCTTGTGGGGAGGGGTGTGGCGAGTGAGGCGGAAAAGAGGCGGGACAGCAGGTGACATGGAGAATGTGGTGCTTTGCAATATTAATTTGTGTCTGGTCCCTTCCACCTCAGAAATTCTGACCCCAAGTGCAGGGCAGCCTGGATGGGAGCGGCTGGAGACAGGGGAACCTGCCAGGTGGAAGGTCACGATCTAGTAGTGGGGGTCACAAGGGCCTAGGGTCCAGTGCTAATATTAATTAGAGCCCCTACAACTGAGTGAGGCTCTTCACAGCTATCTCTGTCCTCACAACGTCTGTACAAGTTTCCATATTTTTAGTCCCATCTAACAGATGGGGAGGAATTCAAGAGTTAGCAAAGCTCTGTGACATACAGAGGCCACATAATGAGGGAGAGCCGAGTCAGGACCTGAGCCCGGAGCCTCAGTATTCCCTTACAGGGAACAGTCAAGGGAGGGAGCTGTGGGCAGAGGGGACAGCTACGGGGGCTGGCCCGGGGAGAGGCCACAGAGCGCAAGGCAGTGCTTTTAGGAATTAGGTCCCAGGGCTGTATGAGAATGTCATCTATGAATAGATAACCACATTGGCATATGAATTTGCTCTAGGAGTGGGAGGTCACAGGTGTACAAACCCCTAAGTCTAAGGGTACTTGTGAAAATGTGATTAACTGAATGGGTTTGGGGAGGGGGGCATGTTCTGGAAGTGTGGACACTGATATGTTGATAAAAGTCAACAAAATACTTGCTTCCAGTGGAGAAACACTGGGTTTCCAGCTTTGACTTCCTGCACCATCTGTCTGACCTGCTTCTAGGTCATTTTCATTACACATTGCAAACCATGCTCTGGGGCTTTGGTCTCATGGTTAAACTTCATAGTGCAAACTCCCCGTGGTAAAAGACCGACTGGGAACATTGCTAACTTTTACTAGGGGAAAAACTTTCTCCCTGAGCAACTGTTAGCCATTGCATGATAATAATACTTTATACTAGTACAGCAATTTCAATTAGTCTGTAATTTTCACTATCATTTTTAATTTAATAGGATAAGCAGGCAGGGGTTACCGCTAAGGCACTTCCAGACTTAACATCCAATGATAAAGAAGAAACTGAGGCTCAGAGCTACATGTGACTGGTCCAAGCACTCACAGTTGCAGAGCTGGGTCCTGGCCTAAGGTCTCCAGACTTTAATTCCACCCCTCTTTCCACAAACTACTTTGCCTCATTACAAATCAAAGCTAGAAAAGGTGTTGCTATGGATCCAAGGTCTAAAAAAATAAATTAGTTTTGCAATTAAAAAAGATCCTTTGCAAACAAAGTGCAAAGCAAGTTATTTGCAAAACCACCAGAAGAGGTGATGGTGTGTCTGAGTCTCCGGGCCGACCAGCATTAAGTCTGAACACAAACTACACTTTGAATGTTTAAAAAAAAAAGTCTTCTAAAGTCAAACAATTTCTGGAAGAACAGTGTGCTTTGGCAGGGGAGGGAGCTTATAAGCAA